GAAGTACCACCTGTCTTATATGTGAAATATAATTATTCATTTGTGTAAAATATCTAAGAGAAATATAAGGTACTTTTTAACAGTGAATTAGTAAATCCTGGCATATTACGTATTTCTAAGCTGATTTCTCATTTTTCCAGGGGTGTCCAAGCCTCTCTTCTGAGTAACATTTTTATGAAAATGGATTACAAAATTGAGTGGAGTATTTTAAAATGTATCATACTGCATTTATTACATTCTTAAAATGTTGATGGAAGCTTTTCTATTTAATGTGATTATAATGGTACTATTATTCTGGTCACTATTCTATTTTGATTTTATTTATTTTAATTATTTTTTTAAGTTGAAATAAGAATTAGATACTTCATTACTGGTTCGAATCTTTTACATTTCATGTTACATTAAACCTGTTCATATGAATAGTCTTTTGTTAGAAAAAACAAACAAACAAACTTTTCCAGGCTGTGGAATTACCCAGACCTCCAAAGAATGAGGGACTCTTGCTGACATCTAAGTGGTACTGTTTCAGTGTATCTAGGAACTCAAGGCAGAGTGGTTTCTAAGAAAGGAATCTTGTACAACCAGTATGTTGAACACACAGGACTTGTGGGTTGTATTTGTCAAAGCCACTTTATTTTTGTCCTCCACTGACTTTTTAAAAATTTGAGGTATAGTTGACATACAATATTATATGTTTCAGGTGTACAACATAGTGATTCACAATTTTTAAAGGTTATATTCCATTTATAGTTATAAAATATTGGCTATATTCCCTGTGTTGTACTATATATCCTTGTAGCTTATTTATTTTATACATAATACTTTGTATCTCTTAATCCTCTAACCCTATCTTGTCCCTCCCTCCTTCCCTCTCCCCACTGGTAACCACTAGTTTGTCCTCTATATCTGTGAGTCTGCTTCTTCTTTGTTATATTCACTAGTTTGTTTTATTTTTTAGATTTCACATATAAGTGATATCATACAGTATTTGTCTTTCTCTGTCTGACTTATTTCACTTAGCATAATAATACCTTCCAAGTCCATCCCTTCCATGGCTCTTTTTTTTTTTTTAAAGTTTGTGTCTACATTTTAAAAAATTAATTAATTTATTTATTTATTTATTTTGGTTTCGTTGGGTCTTTGTTGCTGTGCGCGGGCCTTTCTCTAGTTGCAGCAAGCGGGGGCTACTCTTCGTTGTGGTCCACGGGCTTCTCATTGAGGTGGCTTCTCTTGTTGCAGAGCATGGGCTCCAGGTGTGTGGGCTTCAGTAGTTGCAGCACGTGGGCTCAGTAGTTGTGGCTCGTGGGCTTAGTTGCCCTGCGGCATGTGGGATCTTCCCGGACCAGGGATTGAACGTGTGTCCCCTGCATTGGCAGGCAGATTCTTAACCGCTGTGCCACCAGGGAAGTCCCCTTCCATGGCTTTCTAACCACTTCCAGTGGGGGTCAGGATGGTCTTTTCCTGGCCATGTGTAAAAGTCCTGTCAAGCTCATAAATTTTTCTGTGCATCCTTAGGTAAAAGTCCAGGGGTCACTTTAAGTCACAAATGTGGACTTAATTAATCAATGTTTAAATCCTCATTCAAAGATAATATTTCTCTCCCACTCCCACAAAGCTAGGGTCAATGGCAGGTGGGTGGTCTGCAGCCTTGGAGGAGGCTGTGTTCAGTTTCTTCTCTTTCTTACTCTCTTCCTCCTCATCTTGCTGCTGCTTCTGACCTTTAAGGTTGAAGTTGGAAAAGGAGCAGAGGGAAGGGGGATAGGAAAGTTCCTGGTAGAATGGATTTGTAAGTTCTACACCTGAGGACCCACAGATTCCTGGCAGATGTTTAAAACTGACTCCTAGGGGCTCTCATGGGAGACTCCTGGGAGATTCCCCCTTCTGGGTTCCTCAGACCCAGCTCCCTCTCCTCCTGCTCCTCTGCTTCCCACAGCCTCTGCTGCAGCAGTTGCCTCCCGGCCTCTAACGGCTGAGTCTCTTTTGAGAGACTGGCCACCCTCCTGGTCAGGCTTCACCCCAGGTGGACGTTGCCTCTGCCCCCTCCTCATCTGGTCCCCAGAATTCTTGTCTCCTTTGACCTGTACTCTGAGGGTAGAGCGGTTCATGCCCAGATCCTCTTCTGTCTGCCAAGGCTGCTTAGCTTTCCAGGGCCAGCCAGTGGCGGCAGAGGCCACATCAAGTTCCTTCAGTGGTCAGTCTCCTTGAGGCCTCTCTCACTAGACTGGAGTGGAGGGAGCAGGTAACTCCTTAGATTTTCCCAAAGAAATCCTCCCCTCAAAATCTGCCCCCCTGCAACCTTCTCTTCTTCTGACTCTCCTATATCATCTTTCTGGGTGAGGGATTCCCTAGATGAGAGGACCAAGAGACAGGTAACCAGATTTTGAAAATTTCCTTTGAAGATCTGCATCTTTGTGGTCCACTCACACCTTTGATGATCAGTAACTATCATATCTTGGCATTTCAATCAAAATTTCCCACTTAACATCCTTTGTCGTACTTATTTGTTTTTTACTGGAACAAAAACATCATTATTTTTTCTGATTACAAAATGAATGTATGCTTCTCATAAAATTGAACTAATACATAAATGTAAAAGAATGTAGTGACCCAGGGCAATCCCACCTCCCAGAGATAACTCAAAGGTCGAATTTGCTATGTAGCTTTACACTTTTTTTCTTTGACACACTTGCACTCTTTGTTAATAACTAAAATGGGATTGTAACATACATGAACTCCAAGGAGGCTTTTTCCTTCCACCGTAAGGATATGTAAGCCCTCCCATCACCTATATACCTAAAAGTATCTTGCAGTGAAATAGGAGAAGAGAGAAAAGCTAAGAGACTGAGCAATTCCCTGGATAGACTGAGGATCTAAATGGACAGCTTACATTATTTAATTAAACTGTGATTTAGTGGAGCAGACTAAATTTAGTTTTCTCTCACTTTCCATCAAGATAGCTGCTTTAGAGGAAATAAGATCAGTTGTAGAAAACCAAAGGGCTGCATTTGTGTTTCATACTAGGGAGTATCATGTGAATTTTCAAATCCCTACTACAAATGAAATTGCTGGGTTGGACAGTATGCACCTTTTCAAGGCTTTTGGTGAGCATTTCCATTGTGAGAGTATATCTTCTCTTACATTTTCCCTATACCCTCCTAACACTGGATATTTACATTTTTGCCAGTCTAATAAGCCAAAATTAAGAATTAAGCCTTTCTTTGATTTGTAACAATGTTGAGCAAATTTTGCATTAGGTTAGGACACATGCTAGTTATTTAGGCAATACATGCTCTCTTTGCCCAAGTTTCCATGTTGATTTCCCAATAAAATCTTAGTTAAGTTTTGCCCCAGGCTCAGTTTTTAATCCAGGCTAAAACAAGTGGGCTCCAGAGCAGACTGTGAGAGGCCTGTTCCTTCCCCAGGCCCCAGGGTATAGGTGGGCCCTGACAGGAGTAAAGGCTGAAGGAGATACTTCCCCAAGGAACTTTGAGAGGCCACCATCAGGGCTGCTTCAGGCCTGATCAGTCACCCTCCTCCCTCCTAGGAGAATCTGCCCCACTCATTCATAGCCCCAAACCATGCCTAAGCAGGTCATTCCATGCCAGGGAACCTTGTGAATTTAGAGACGAGTGACCACAAGACAGAAGAGGGGGCTCCTGCTCCAAGGGAAGCCAGGCCACTCATGGACCAATTAGCTGTTATGGATGGCTTGACACACAAAAATGGCCTCAACCAGATTCTTCTTCCCAGGGGTTTCAGCTAAGAAACCCAGAAAGAATTTGCTTGTAAACTGTGGAACTAAAGTTGTAAAGATAAGGAGGTAATGAACTGAGCCCTGGGCAAGCCCAAACCTGGCTGAGTCAGCAGGGAGAGGAAGATAGGCAGAGTAGAGGAGCTGTTCCCCCTGACACAGGGACCTCTCCCTTCTGCAGCTGGGCCTCCAACCTTGGAGCTGCAGCCATCCTGCCTGACTCTGAGAGCCAGGGGCTGCGCAGCCGTCTGCTGTCCAGTCCACAGGAAGACTACAGTGCCTTCAGCTCTGCTCCAGGCTCACACTTTCTTGTGTCCCCAGTATTTATTTATTTAGTTAGTTAGATGTGCTGGTGTTAAGTTGCTGCAGCTTGCAGGCTCCTTAGTTACAGCTTGCTGTCTCCTTAGTTACGGCTTGCTGGCTCCTTAGTTGCAGCAGGTGGGCTCCTTAATTGCAGCATGTGGGCTCCTTAGTTGTGGCATGCAAACTTTTAGTTGCAGCACGCATGTGGCATCTAGTTTACTGACCAGTGATCGAATCCGGGCTCCTTGCATTGGGAGCGTGGAGTCTTATTCACTGCGCCACCAGGGAAGTCCCCATCCCCAGTATGTACCTAGATGTGGTCTCCGTCCATCATAGGTTGCAGGTGTAGATAATACATACCTCTGATCGACTCTGGATTGGCCTCACCAAGCCACTCAGAACACCAGAGGAAAGGTTTTGATCACAAAGGATAAAAAGTATGTGAGCATTTTTTTTTTTTTTTTTTTTTTTTTTTTTTTTGCGGTACGTGGGCCTCTCACTGTTGTGGCCTCTCCCGTTGCGGAGCACAGGCTCCGGACGCGCAGGCTCAGCGGCCATGGCTCACGGGCCCAGCTGCTCCGCGGCACGTGGGATCTTCCCGGACCGGGGCACGAACCCGTGTCCCCTGCATCGGCAGACGGACTCCCAACCGCTGCGCCACCAGGGAAGCCCAGCATTTTTTTTTTTTTTTTAATTTTTAATTTTTGGCTGCATTGGGTCTCCGTTGCTGTGCGTGGGCTTTCTCTAGTTGCGGAGAGCAGGGGCTATACTCTTCGTTGCAGTGCACAGGCTTCTCATTGTGGTGGCTTCTCGTTGTGGAGCATGGGCTCTAGAGCGCAGGCTCAGTAGTTGTGGCACATGGGCTCAGTAGTTGTGGCTCACAGGCTCCAGAGTGCAGGCTCAGTAGTTGTGGCACACGGGCTTAGCTGCTCCATGGCATGTGGGATCTTCCTGGACCAGGGCTCGAACCTGTGTCCCCTGCATTGGCAGGCAGATTCTTAACCACTGCATCACCAGGGAAGCCCATGAGCATTTCTTGAAGCATTTTGAGCAGATATGGAGCAAGTTTATAAGGACCTTCCAAGAAAAATAAGACAAAGTACACAATAGCATTTTACAATGAACTCTCTCCTTAAACTTGGATGGGAGAAAGTTGTTTATTAAAATCCTCTTGGCAATTCTGGTAATAAACCCAAAGGATGGCATCTAAAATGGACCTGCTTTAATCTCCTCTTCCCCCACTCTGCCTCCAAATAGTAAAGGATGAGCCATCAATCAGTATAGAGAGGTTCATGTAAACACTCTGCATGGTTCTTTGGATGTAAGGCAGCCCCTAAAATCTAACATTCTTCCAGAAGGATCAGAAGGATTCAAACCTTTACCCTTTTCTGAAAAAGAATGCTCTGTCAAAAGAAGTCCCTTTCGTTTTAACACATTCCTTTCATCCATGTCAAGGGTGGTGTGAGTGTACTGTTGACCCTGAGAACACTTATCCTAATTACTTACAAAGAATAGTGAAACAACTGATGACTAAGCAGAGGGTTTGAGCTAATGCTTGGAGTAAACACTGTGGCTGGGAAAACTCCAGAACAAGTAACTACCTCCGTTCATGCAGCGGCTGTGATGCTGGAAAGTAACGTATCAATTGAAGTTTTGTAAAATTAAATATAATTAGAAAAGCAGAAATGATCATCATAGAAAATGCCCTCTATATGAAGAGACTTTTATAATGTGAATAGTCAGGCTGTAACCTATAGTTTATTGGGTTTGTTTAGCCAATGGCTTGTAAGGGTCCTAGTTTCCTGAATCAATACCCAGGGGCTCCAGCTCAACACTCACCTGCTCTGTAAAGCCTTCCCCTCCCACCTGGGTTTTAAAATTCACTTTCATTCATCTCTGAACTCAATTTTAATATTGTCTGTGTCCTACATTTCAGCTCTTTTGGCTTTCAATATTCAATTCCTACAATGTCTCTCTTTTTTTTTTTTAACGATGTACAATTTAATACATTTTAAAATGCTTCTCTTGCCTCGTCCTTCTTTTCTCTATTTCTATCATTGCGTTCTTCAGTATATTTATAATAATCAGAATTTCAGGTATAGGTCAACAGGTGTCACTATGATAAATAAAATTTTAAAAGTTTACCATTCTTTTAAAATTGATATCAAAAGGTACAAACTTCCAGTTATAAGATAAATAAGTACTGGGGATGTAATGTACAACGTGATGTACAACTGCTGTATGTTATATGTGACAAGTTGTTAAGAGTTCTCATCACAAGAAAAAACATTTTTTATTTCTTTAATTTTGTATCTATATGAGGTGATGTATGTTCTCTAAAGTTACAGTGATAATCATTTCATGGCATATGTTAAACCAAATCATTATGCTGTATACCTTAAACTTATACAGTGCTCTATGTCAATTATATCTCAATAAAACTGGAAGGAAAAAAATACTAAGTAGATAGGAAAAAATTTGATTAACTGCTTCATTCACAAGTCTATCCCTTCATTTACTGTTATTAAAACTGTGTGAGATATTGGGTGGAAAAAAGAAAATAATTATTAATGTTACTTAGAGAAGATTAAACCATAATGGTGGGAATCTGGGGGAAAGGCAGGAGAAAAGTCAGCATAGGAACTGGTTTGTGAATTGCCTTTTTCCACCAAGTAAGTCAGTTGACGTAGTCAAGTTAATTTATTCTGAGCAGACACGTGTCAACATTTTACTGAAAAACAAGTGCAGTGTACTGAACTGACCTGTACTTTAAAAAAGTACTGGAAGCTGATTGGAAGCAGCCCAGATCCCTAAAGGCCAGTTCACAGAAGGATCAGTTAGTTCAATGTCCAAGCTACTCCCAATTTGCCAAATGTGTGATTTACCAAAAACTTAACTCTTGAAAATATCCAATGAATATTAAGGTATTTTTTATGAGTATCACAGGGAATATGTGTTATTCAGGATAGTCTTCAAGATATTACTGTCACATATTCTAATTTAAAATATTTGTATTCAATATGTTCTAGAATATATTTTTCTTCGTGTATATGAATATATTCCATAAATGTATTCACTCTGTTTCTTTCAAAACACCTTAAAATGCTGGTAAAATAAATAAAGCTTTCTGTTCATTGGAAAGCTAAGCTCACAAGAAAGTAGGGAACATTCTCAGTGGTCACAAAACTAAGAGGGAGTTAAATTGCGGGGTAGGGGAGAGCGGGAGTCAGATAAGGTGAGGCGGAGGCCTCTCTGGAGTTTACTGGTCTCAGGATCCAAGGATTTTGAGTTTTAATGGACATATAGCAACAGAAGAGACCTTGGGTTAACAAGAATGAAGAGATAGAGTTGATGCTTTCACATAAAGTTAGAACTCTGCAAGGGCTGTACCTTTGATGAAAGCGTGTACCAGAAACAAAACTGCAGAAATGCACAAGGAAACACAGAATCTCCTGGTGGAGCCTCTTGATTTGGTTAAAAAAATTTCCCCTGAGAATTTAAAATTACAGTCTGCCCTTACTCAGGTCTAGAGTTCAATCTTATACTACCTATAGAAACCAGGGGCCCACAAGTTGAAAAATTAACTTAAAAATGGATACCAAGCAGATAGAAGCAAATATAAAATTTCTTTGAAAGGAATATACTCTCCACTCGGACCACACAGGATTCCCACAGACAAAGCCCCACTAAAGATGAGCTCATCATCTAAAACTACAAAATGCAGGAGGAAATAATCACCATGAGTGAGAACTGAGAAATTCTGAGGAGGGAAGTGGTATGGACCTTGCCTAACATGGTAGCTTCGAACTGGCATGAATATTCCACAGTTAAAGTCTTCAAGTTGTCAGAAGAATCTGTCAGTGGCTGAAATTATTTCCTTTGTTTACCCTAAGCAACCCGTTCCGGAGCACACTTCACAGACTAGGCTCTGCTAGATGACAGCTAATCAATTAGCCTCCCCCCATCCAATATCAAATGGAAAGAATCCAAAACCTTGCTGTGCTTAGAGTGTCTGTAGTTTTTTTCTTTTCTCTTATAAAGCCCTTTTTTGTTGTTGTTGTTGTGGTACGCGGGCCTCTCACTGTTGTGGCCTCTCCCGTTGCGGAGCACAGGCTCCGGACGCGCAGGCTCAGCGGCCATGGCTCACGGGCCCAGCCGCTCCGCGGCATGTGGTATCTTCCCGGACCGGGCCACGAACCCAAGTCCCCTGCATCGGCAGGCGGACTCTCAACCACTGCGCCACCAGGGAAGCCCTATAAAGCCCTTTTTGTTGACAACAGCCTAATGACTATTCTCCTTAAAATAAGCAAGTATATCATTTGCATGCAGATAACTAAATGTCTCTGAGGTACGCTTTCACAGAGTCAAAAAGAATAAACACAGCAGCAGGACGAGACCACAATAACTTCAGATAATATTGAACAGAATTACCAGACTATTACAAAACCAGGTTTGTTTGCCCCACTCCGCAACAAGCCAAACACTGAGACACGGAAGTTTGCAGCAGAGAAAGGGTTTATCCACGAGACAGCTAAGCGAGGAGATGGGAGAACAAGTCTCAGATCCTCCTCCCTAAAGGTGAGGGGCTTGGGATATTTACAGGATAAAGAAGCAGGGTGGTCTGAGGCATGGGGAAAGGGGGTTGAAGATAAGAAAAAGGTGAAGTAATCAGTGTTCTGCGCAGGTGTATCTGAGTTACATGCTTCTTCATGAGACACGTGTTCAGAAAATGGTGGCATTAGCATGATCTGATGATGGAGTTTTTGTCCCTCTGACAACAATAGGTTATCCATCCGACACTTGCACAGGCCCAGTTGAATGGTCAGTGTGCTTGACCAGTTTGAACTGGGCAAGACTAACTCCATGTTCCTGAAAAACAACTTAAGAAACCATTATTGGGACTTCCCTGGTGGCGCAGTGGTTAAGAATCTGCTTGCCAATGCAGGAGACACAGGTTCGATTCCTGGTCTGGGAAGATGCCACATGCCACAGAGCAACTAAGCCCATGCGCCACAACTACTGAGCCTGTGCTCTAGAGCCTATAAGCCACAACTACTGAGTCCGCGTGCTGCAACTACTGAAGCCCAAGCACCTAGAGCCCATGCTCCGCAACAAGAGAAGCCACTGCAATCAGAAGCCTGCACCCTGCAACCAAGAGTAGCCCCCGCTCGCCGCAACTAGAGAAAGCCCACATGCAGCAATGAAGACCCAAGGCAACCAAAAATGAAAAAAAATTTTTTTAAATTAAAAAATTTTAATAATAAAAAAAATAAAATAAGAAACCATTACTATAGCGACCCATATGTCAGAGGTTTTACCTGGAGGGGGTGGTTAAAGGAATCTTATGATATATTGCCCAGGCTACAGTGAAGCTTGGAGGGTATGCAATTTGCAAGAACAATTAAAGCAAGCTTGATTAGTGAAGGCAGGTTACAAGTTATTATTTATTAAGCAAGTTATAGTTCAAGGATTCTAATTGATGACTGCCCTCAGTTTCAAGACTATTAAAACGTATGCTTAAAATAATTAGACTTATCCCTAAGTATTTTATGTTTTGGGATGCTGTTGAAATGGTATTTTAAAAATTTCGTTTTCTACATGTTCATTGTTAACATACAGAAATAACATTGATTATTGTATATTGACCTGTAGCCTGTGGCCTTGCTAAATTTACTTACTAGTTCTATTGTAGATTCTTTAGAAGGATTTTCTATCTGCATGATCATGTTATCTGTGAGTAAAGACCATTTTCCTTTTTCCTTTCCAATCTGTGTGGCTTTTATATATTTTTTTGCAGTGGCTTAAAGCTCTACTAAAATGGTCGATAGAAGTGTTGAAGGTGGACATCCTTGCTTTGTTCCTGATGTTAGGGGCAAAGTATTCGGTCTTCTGCTACAAGAACATTAACTGTGGGTTTTTGTTTTTTAATATGTATTTATTTATATGGCTGCGCTGGGTCTTAGTTGTAGCACTCAGGATCTTTGTTGCCGCGTGTGAGATCTTCCTCGTGGCATGCGGGATCTTTTCAGTTGTGGCATGCGGAATCTAGTTCCCTGACCAGGGATTGAACCTGGGCC